AAAACATCCCAGTATCCTGAGAAGCCATCTACATCGTGCAACATGTGTTGCCCATTTGCTACCACCAGTGATCAATAAATGGAAAACAAAAGGACAGCCTTCTGTTTCTGCCCTAATTTCACCTTGATAGTTCTGTACCCCTTCCTCATTCACCTCACTTTGTTCATCTCACTCAAGTGACCAACTATAGACAAATCTCACCGAAAGCTTTTTATAAGTTCAGGTGTTGAGTATGAACATATGCTATTTGTTTTCTAAAAAAAATGACTGAACTTAAGATTCATTCTTTAATCTTACCTTTGAGTTCATGGTGGATCAGATCAGCAAAATTTGGCACTTCACCCCACCAGAAAATCCAAAGCTCCCGGTGGCCTGGCATCACATCCCTGCGCCACACACAAAGTACATTAGCTTTTAAGCAGCGGCTGAAGCTGCAGAGAACGGCATCGTCTTCAGCCACCGGGATGACGAGCGGTGTCCCCGCAGGACCCTTCCATGAATAACGTCGCCATTTAATTCCAGGTAGGTCAGCCTAGGGGTGGGGGGGGGTGGTGGTGGTGGTGAAAACAGGAAAACCAGGAGGTTAGCTTCAAACAATCTTCTTCAAAAAGCAGTGTTCTGACAGGAAAAACACAAATCCATAAAAACCATCTACAAAATTTTAGCACGTTCGAATACAAGAGGACAGTGGCTCTAGTCGATGGCTCAGACAAGTTGCACTAATTCTCAATCAAATCACCAGCTCAAGGACAGAATCACGTGCATGTGTTTTTTTTTTGCAGGGAAGGGGTATGCAGAAAAGGAGAGAAGAGAAATACACAAAGTAATTCAATTAATAAACTGTTTCAACTCACTGGAGTAGCACACTGGGGGAATAAAAAAGCCATGCTATTCCAACAGTCAGCACAAAAGTTAGAGATCTTGAAAAGTACAAAGTTCCCCAATTTTCAGTCTCTGATTAAAAAACATAAACCAAGTTTCTGTACAGAACAAGGATCAATAATTTACTAAAGTAATTAGACTCTACCTACATGTAAAGAATTCTAACTGTTGGCATATATGAATTCAAAACTCTAATCCCTACAAACTTTCACCTACACACAGACAAAAATGGATTTTAAAAAGTTTTGGGGCAGAAGGAAAAATTATAAAGACAGTTCAGTGGCGTTTGTTCCCAACATAATCTTTTATGACACTTCTCCTGGCCAGCACATTGCTTCATCTTTCTCAGGTGTTTCCACTAGTTGATAAGACACACAAGGTGGCTAGATCACTAGAAAATTCTGATATCAGAAGAAAAAAAAATAAATAAATCACAGCTCACAACTGTTACAGGAATTTTTTTTCCCCTTTCAGGTTTAATGAGTTTTCACTGTGGAGAAAGAAAGACCAAATCAAGCTGGAGGAGGAACTAAACACTATATATAAAAAAAAAAAAAAAAAAAATACTCCTAGTTCCAAGCTATTCAAGAACCAGTGTTGTTGGTTGACAAAAAGATCTGTTATTAATAAAGTGGTCACTGCTCCATAGTACAAAAGCTTTGTAGCAATAGCAATATTAGTTGCCAGCAAAAGGTTCATCTGCAAACCCCTCAACTCCAAATCGTCTGCATCTCAAACTTCAATTAGTGCTTGTTCAAAAAGAAAAAAGTTGTTTGTGATAGCTGCCTTCTGCTATGTTACTTACTCTTCCAGCGATTTTTAAATCTGCTCATTTAGGCCCTAGTTAAGATACAAAGTAAAAAGATTCCATCTTTACAAAAGTTTCAAGATGCAATCAAAAATATTATGCTGACTTCAGCACATAGCACAGCAGTACGAGAAGGTACATTTGAAATACAATTTGGTCCTTGCACCTAACTAGGAGTACTAACACTCAAGTGTTCCAAATTTAGCACTGGTAGCATTGTACTGAGCTCAGTGCAGTCAGCTATGAATTAATCATTAAGTGATTAAAACATTTTAATACCAACAAAATTTTGCCAGTCCTTGAACAACTTGGGTAGTGTGAAGTCAGCTGGGAAAATACGGCAAGATCAGGAAAATGAGATTATCGGCATTAAAAAATGCTGGCAAACAACTTTTGAACAGCAAGATGAAAATCTTGCCAGAATAAGGAAGTCTATTTGCATATCAATATATTACTACTTAATTCCATTTCATTTATATGCAGTTTCTAATGCTCCTATACACCAGACAAAAACATGCAGTACCCACGTAGATACAAATCCTGGTCACAAACAAGTCACTGGGACACACTCCATGGCATCTATAGGAGTCTGCCATGTCAGAATAGAAAACAATGCTAAGACATCATTTGTGACATGTAAACACTGACTTTACACATTGCTAAGAACCTGTTTGGACATTCCCCACACAGGTCCACTGGAACTATGACTAACAGATCCAGCTACAGCAAGGGATCATCTCTGTGGACATAGTGCTACAAAAGACTCAGAAATAGAGTAGGATCAGATACAACAAGTTGAGGACCAGCAGCAACCTTCAGCTGCTCAACAGCATAAATTTTTATGCAATTGTTTCTAAGGATGTACTGGGGACCTGTGTGGGATCTTTCAATCTTCAACCCACAAACACGTTAAAGGCTGTTCTTGATGTAATCTGGCACAAATTACACCATTTCACCTCATTTCCCATAAAGGTGATCAGTGCTACAGCAAACCTTGCCAACAAAGCTGGCTAGCCTAGGTGCAGGACACTAAAAAAAGTACATGTTGAATGTGCCAATATGATGTGGAAGACTTCAACAGAAAAGGCTATCAATTTCAGTGTTCAAATCATCGGAGAGGATCAGTACCACAACTTAGAATGTCTGCACCAAGTACTCAGAGCTGTTGTGATGCCTATATCAAGGAGGCAAATATTCCTGCTTTGTTTCAAGTGCCAGATGCTTTACAAAGACGGTTCCTGAGGGATGGTTACAAAGATCAGCCCGCAGATTATAAACCAGCCAATTATTCTTCCTACAGAATCTTCAATTGCTGCTACTAGACTGAAAAACTGCTTGTTTGATCATAGTGTTTGATTATGTTTGATCATAAAATTAAAAATCCAGTTACAGTTCATAGTTACAAGACAGCATAGAGCTCACCACGCATACCTAAAAAGTTCATAGGACAAAGTTTCATACTCGGTTCACAACAAATTAATTTGTATATTTCACTTCAGACCATTTCAGTGCCAACTGCAAACTTCAGCTCCCAATTTACTTAGCATTGCCTTCTTTCCACCACCACCCTCACATCAATGTCAGACGTGCTGACAATAGCATGTACAGAGCTGCTTTCCATAAAAAAATTTCCAGCAATTTTTTTTGAAAAATCCATCAGGATTCCTTCAGAGTCACCAACATACGAAACGGTACACCTTGGTATGGAACTAACACATTGGGTGCGATGTGAGGAAAGTAAATTTGCACACAAAGAAATTGACCTAGTCATCACCTGAAGTTAACTTCAACTAAAAACTTTAAAGCAACAGAAAATCTAGTAAGGAATCTGAAAAGTCTCCTTGCTGCAGCAATACTTCTAGTACAGATATTTATGGCAAAGTAAACAGCAGATCTGATACCAACTTAAGCAGTTTGAGATGCATATGGACAGCCAATAAACTTGAGAACTCTGCTGTTATGCTGCACCAAGACTAGATTATGAATGACTCTACACCGACTGAAATCCAGCAAGTGTATAAATATAGATGGTTAAGCACATTTTCCTCTATGCAAGACTTCAATAAAATTTGAAAACAGGAAGTCACTTAAAATGTTATTTTGCAAGTCAACACGTTAAAAGACTACAGTATCTTAGTCACAATTTCCTGTTTGAAGGCTGATTACTCAAACTTTTGTTTTTGCATTACAAGTGGAAATAAATTTCTGAAGTAGGCCAGATGTTTCTCAACTACTACAGTTTTGAATAGAATGCTGAAAAAAAATTGCAATTCCTGAGATTAATACAAGATGATCTGACGGACGTTTATATAAAGATGGAATTTTTATTTTTTTAAAAATTAGCCTTAGAAAATCCATTTATTAGAGCTAACTTTCTGTGCAGATGCAAGCAATGCAACGCAACAAGTACATAGCACCTCTCATCCAAGTATAGACATTAATTACAAAGCATACATTCACTTATACCAAATTGTACACTGAAGTCTCGAGGGGCCACACGAACTAAGCATAGAACAATTACGAATAGAAAATCACGTTGAACAAACGCGTTCAACTTTGAGATTACCAATTCTGTTAGTAAGTTATAATCAATGTACATGGGACACTTTTGATGAAGTCGCCCACAAGCTGGTTCACAAAATTAAAACACATGGAAAGAAAGATAAAGTACTGGCATAGATTATGGATTGGCTAACAGAATAAACAGGTCGTTCATGTTGGCAGGTTGCAACGGTGAGATACACAAGGATACGTACTTTGACTCCAACAGTTCTCAGCATACAAATGATTTAGACACTGATCAAAATTAATTTTCCAAGTTTGCAGATGATTAAACAGTTGAGAAGGTGTTCAGAGGAAGCTTCAAAGCAGCTTCAACAAGATTTAGACAAATTTAATGAGTGGGATGGAATGCAGTGTGGAAAAGTGTGAGGCTATTCACTTGATTACACCGCTATGTAGAGTAGTTCTTAAAATGGTAGAGATTAGAAAATGGAAATGCATAAAAAAACCTGGGAGTCCTAGCCAATGAAGTCACTGACAGCCAACATACAAGTACAGCAAGCAATTAAGGTAATGGTATATTGGCCTTTATCACAAAGATGATTTGAACACAGGAGCAGCAAAGTCTTGCTATAATTTTACAGAAGTTAAGACCACACTTGGGATTAGTGCACACAGGTTTGGTGCCCTTACTCAGGGGAAGATATTATTGCTATAGAGCAAGTGCAATTAAAGTTTGTCAGACTTGTTCCTGGGACAGAGGGATTGACCCAAAAGGAGAGATTGGAAAATAGGTCTGTATTTTATAAAGTTTGAAGAATGAGGGGTGATCTCATTGATGCTTACAAAATACATAGAACAATAGACAGGGCATGCGTGTTTTCCTGGCTGAGGATTCTAGAACCAAGGGGCAAAATTTAAATATAAAAAAAAGGAGGAAGCCACATAGGAAGATGAGAATCTTTTAACTTGGAGGGTTAAGAATCTTTGGAATTTTCTACCCCAAGAGGGCTACAGAATCTGTTAAATAACTGTTTAAAATAGAAATTGACGTTTCTAAATACTAAAATGACAGAGGGATATAGGGATAGCATAGGACAAAAGCATTCAAGTTGATAATCAATCGTGGCAGTGTTCATTCAGGTCTGACCATCCAAACAGCCCATCTCTGCTCTGATGTTCCTATGTTTGAGGAAACTGTAGAATAAACTAACCAACTGTTCAAGATAATTTTAAAAAGAGCTGGGTTTCTTGCATTACAGCATTTACCCAAAAAGTAATTCACAGTACATTAAGTATTTCTGAAGTGAAATCACTGGTAAAGTAGGGAAAACATTGTA